AATATAAAAAATAAAAGTTCATTATAAAAGCTGTTAGCTATTTTGAAAAGATTAATTTAAAAATCCCGAAACAAACATGACTTACAATTGAACATTTTCCAGTATCTTCTGAAACTACTGCAGACAAGCAGAATATATCCCTTGACAGGGTCAACATTAATATGCTAATTTGTTTAAAATTCAAAATGGAAGAAACCCAGCTGGTGATAGGAATGCAGACCTGATGTTACCAGATCTTGTTGTTACATGAAGCCTTAGTTAAACTCATAGACTTAAGAGGGTCAGCTGATTACTTGCTTCACACATTTAATGGAAGATTGATTTCTTGTTTCTAAAGAGCAGGCACAAGCCAGCAACAGTTAGTCAACATGGATAATTTCCGTTTCGTTGCTTTCAACAGAAATTAGTCACAATGCACTTTTGCTTGAGACAAATTAGTGGCTGTATATGCAAAAAAAGTGTTTTTTAAAATAAAATGTATAAGAGATGCTTCATGGAGAATCATATGCACAAACATACATCACTTTGCCAAGGTTTTATAATATTTAAGATCCATAAATATAATGGATTAATTTAGCATTAAAGAGTTAGAGAAACTTCAAAGTTTATCTACTATAGCTTCCCTAATAGGAACGCTTCAGTTTCTGCTTAAAATCCCAAATAACATCTGTTGAGGGAGCACCTACCAGCTTCTGAAGTACATTGTTCCACTGGTGAACAGCAGAAAGGAGTTGTATATAGTCAATTGCTTTTTAGATTGTTCATGAATGCTCCGGAGTTAGGAGTGTGAATGAGCTGAAGTGTTTGGTTTGTTTTTTTTAGTTCTGTGTGTGAGTGACAAAAGCCTTTTCCCCCCAATGTATAACATGACTGTAGATTAGACATGGGCAAACTTTGGCCTATCAGCTGTTAGGAATTGTGGGAGTTGAAATCCAAAACACCTGGAGGGCTGAAGTTTGCTCATCCCTGCTGTAGATGGCCCTCCACATCCACTCCACAATTCATCTTCACATTAACTGTGGGAGATAGATCAGGCTGAGCATGTGTGTTCCAAGTGAAGTTCATGGCTCAGAGTTGAATCTCACCTCCCAAGTTTTGATCCAACATTCACCACTTCAGTTGGAGTCGGTCTCAAAGATGCTATAGGATCCCTTTACTGCACATACACACTAGCATGGCTATGTCTTGAGTACCACTACACTCCACAGACACCATATGATTCAGGGTGATAAAGAGAAATTACAAAATGTTCCAAAATGATCTTTCTAAATTTAACAAAACATTCTTATCTCAAAGGAGAATTCAACTGGAAAGTAAAGTGATATGTAATGTATGGTGTGGCCATGTGGAGTTGTGTGGGCAGGGATTGGCTAAGAAAACAATGTTATGTTCATGGTGGATGCCACACCAACAATGATATTGTCACCCACAGTACACTCAGGGAGAAAATCGGCAAGTTTAACTAAGTGTCTAGCATCTTAGTCCATATTACAAAAGGGTTTAAGAATAAAGCTGCCACGATTACAAAACCTCTGTATAGAAATCTATAGGCTACCATACTTGGAATAGTTCTGGCTGCTAAACTTTTAAAAGTCTATGTAGCAATAGGGAAGGCGCAGAGAAGGACTGGAACAGGGCTCCTAAACATGAAAGACTACATTTGTGGCTGCTCTAATCAGCGGTATAAAAGTGATGCAAGAAAGTGAAGAAAAATGTATTTCTTCCTGCTCCAGAATAACAGAACCTAAGGTTATTTCGTGAGTGTGTGAGAAATACCTTCCAAAGGGAAAAAATAAATAAAGTCGAGTTAATGTGCCAGAGGGTGGTGACGTGGGTTAAACCGCTGACCTGCTGAACTTGCTGACTGAAAGGTTGGTGGTTCAAATCCAGGGAGCGGGGTGAGCTCCTGCTGTTAGGTCCAGCTTCTGCCAACCTAGCAGTTCAAAAACAAGCAAATAATTAGGTACTGCTTTGGCCGGAAGGTAACAGCAGTCCATTCAGTCATACTGGCCACATGACCTTGGAGGCGTCTACAACGCCGGCTCTTTGGTTTAGAAATGATGAGCACCCCCCCCCCCCCGAGTCAGACACGACTTGGCTTAATGTCAGGGGAAACCTTTACCTTAATGTGCCAGAGGCTGTTGATACATGTAGTTTAAGTGAGATCCAAATCCAAAGTGGCCTGAAGGATAGCAGAGAGATTTGCTTGTATTATTTGAAAAGCAAATAAATAAATAAATAGACACCACCCCATGCAAGTCTTTGTTTCATTTTTTTATAGCAGAGTCATCAAAGTGACAAAATGTCTTTTTCCTCACGTAAGAAATTAGTTTGCCCCTCCATCAGATGTTGATATATTGTCAGAATGCAAATGCCATGCTGTTGTAGGCTATGAATTAAGTCAACATATCCAAAGGGATACAGAAACGTAGCACACTGTCCCAATTAAGCGTGTAAAACGAGAAAGGCATTAGTACTGCAAAATAAAGGCAGCTTAACATATCTTCTGTATCAAGAATTTTAAGTGGTATTCCAGGAGTATTAACAGAATAATTTAAAATCAACAACAATGACACTTGCTTGTTTGTTTCCCAATCTGAATATTTTGTGGGTGGGATGACAGCATGAGACATCCACAAGGTTTGAATTTTAATTATAGCAATGAACAGAAATGACATTCTTTCCAAATCACAACCTTTCATAAAAATGAGGGGCAAAAGATACAGACTGCAAAGACACTATTCACTACGTGATTTATGGTAGGGTTGGGACTATAACTCCCATAATCCTTGACCACACATTTTGTTGGTTGTGGTTAACAGCCAACATCTGGAGAGTCACAGATCCTCTTTTTTGGCCCATGGAAATGAATGGGAGACATAGGACCCCAGGGTGAATTTTCTGGTAGATTGTGAGCAGTCTTTAAAAAGGAAAGCAACATAAACAATACCAGTGAGACATTTATATCCCTCCAGGCCAACCTTGCACTTTAATGAAGTGAAGATTTTGTCATTTCAAATGTCAGCAACAATGACTGTATGTTAGAAGACATCAACAACAAGACCTTCAGGTAAGAACTTTAATCAGCCTCAATATAGTCAGTCAGCCTGAGTCGAAATCCAAAATTGACAGTTCTTGTAGTACTGATTTTTGTTTGCAGAGGGCACCAGTGAACCTTCTAGATTTTCCAGATCTATAGAGAAACATTCTGAACTTGCAGAGATATAAGGCCAGGAGTAACATGACAAACTTAAGTAGCTTCATGTTCTAGTGGAGAGATTAAAGCAGGTATGTTATCAATATATTTGAATATTTGCAACATACATGAACCAAATAATGGTACTAAGAATGGAAGTATGTACTTAGTATCAAAATGAGTGTCATTACTATCCAAAATGCTTGGGATCGGAAGTATTTTGGATTTAGATTTTTTTTCCAAATTTTAGAAAATGAATGACTTTAGATTTTGAAGGTTTTTAGATTTTGGAATTCCAGATAAGGAATGCTCCAGCCACACTATTGGTCCCATCATTATGCTTGTTGGACTTTATGTAAATAATGAAAGTATTCAAAGTTCTTATTGATTTTGATGAAGTCATATATTCATTTCCTTCATTTGGACAAGGAAATGATGAATGAAATTATATGCCCACCAAAATCAATAATAACTTGGAAGGCTATCATTCTAAGTGGTGATGAAAACCTGCACACCTAAAAGAAGCTATAAGCATCCCTTTATGTGTTTTCTGTAAAGGGCCTATATGGAGCACCATCAACGAGGAATAAGTATAGCAACCAGACTTGATAGATTACATTTTGTATCTATGGATTGCCCTTTTGCTTAAAAAAATGTGCAAGATGATTTCAAGCCAGATATCCAAAGCAGAAATGAAATACACTCACAGGAAAAGAATTACATAGGAATTTCAATGGGTTATTGATTCATGCTGAGCAGTTGCAAGAAGAAAGATATATTAGTGTTTCTAAAAATGTCAACTGTATGCTGTAGAATCCCATGCATGTCTAACCTGAAGTCAGAGTTCCTTGGGAATTCCTTAGGTATTGCTGCTTTTAATACAAGCAATGTACAGGTTGTTTACTTTTAATGTGGTCCTCTCAATTAAAAAGAATGTGGGAAAGTTCTTGTTTTGGGACATTATTATCATCATCATCATCATCATCATCATCATCATCATCATCATCATCTAGCTTTATCTACCCAAAAGGGGACTCATATCTCCCAGAATCCTCCACCTTATATGGGTATTATACAATCATAGAATCATAGAGTTGGAAGAGACCTCATAGGCTATTCAGTCCAACCCTCTGTCAAGAAGCAGGAAAATCATATTCAAAGCATCCCCGACAGATGGCCATCCAGCCTCTGTTTAAAAGCCTCCAAAGAAGGAGCCTCCACCACACTCCAGGGCAGAGAGTTCCACTGCTGATCAGCTCTCACAGTCAGGAAGTTCTTCCTAATGTTCAGGTGGAATCTCCTTTCCTGTAGTTTGAAGCCATTGTTCTGCGTCCGTAATCTCCAGGGCAGCAGAAAACAAGCTTGTTCCCTCCTCCTTGTGACTTCCCCTCACATATTTATACATGGCTAACATGTCTCCTCTCAGCCTGAATAAAAGATTCTGAGATCTGTTGTTCAAAAAAGAATTTTTCTAAGTTCCACAATGAAATTAGTAGGACTTCAGAAATGGTCAGAAGTTCATCTGTCCCTAGTGTTTAATAACATAAAGGCTCACCCCTCCTCTCTGCCCAGCCATACCATTGAAGCATTTTAGTTTCCTTCAGTTCTGTGTTTTGAATATCTGGCTGATGCTTCTTTTTCCCCAAAGCTTAAATGGTTAGCTTATTGTTTTATAGATATAGCAGGGTCTTCATATCTGCTGGGGTTTGGTTCCAGGACCCCCTTGGATACCAACATCCATAAGTCCCATTTTACACAATGCATATATATATATATATATATATATATATATATATATATATATATATATCTCGTGGTAGCCCTTCTATAAAATGCAAAACCTTGGGTATTTTCTTTTTCAGAAGGGGGAAGGGGCATTGTTATTTTCAGGCCATAGATAGTTGAATCCATTGATGAATGATCTGTGGGTATGGAGGGCCAATTATATTGCTTTAATCGAAGTTATGAGCTACTTGGGTTATGAATGAGAGATCAAAGTGCAAAATATAAGTACTTTCATAAATAATAAAAAAAATGTTAATTATCATACATTGTCAGTTCACAGTGCATATAATAAAAGAATGAAAAACGCTACTCAGTGTTGATCAGCTTTGAAAATCCATTGTTAATTAACACCATTCCAATCTTTTCTGTTTTTCAACATTTCAGTGGAAATAACTGGCACAAAATACATTGTTAAACTCCTTAATCAGTCATTGTAGAAAAATAGAAGTGTGTGGGACATTCTTAGTACAAAATGTTGACAAAGCTTCCCTACTGAAAGCATCAGAAGCTTTGGGTCTTTTAAGCTTATATTACAAAAATGTGGTTCCATAAACTTTACATCAGATGCTTCATTGATAATAACAAAAACAATTCAAGGGAGACTTTAAGCTTTCCGTCTCACTCACAGCGTTACAGCTTACACATGCATGCGTGTCAGAAGGACGTGGTTTGTTTTTCCTGTGCTGAAAGGGCACACAAAAAGCTTAAAAGGATCTGCAACTCCACTTTCACAGGACATAGGAAACCCTTTCAAAAATAAAATAAAATAAACCATAGCAAACTTACCAAGATCCTTCATAGAAAAATGCCCCTCCCCCCTATTACAAGAGTAAAAACATGGTGATCTCACATAAGACTTTTTGCATGTGTGTGTGTGGAGGGCTCCTTCACTTTGTCATGCATTTGCAACAGTGCAGCAAGCTGGTGATACCCAAACCATAATTTTCTACAACTTTCCTCTTTACTTCTACATCTTATCCTTCCCCTGAGACTTTCTGTTAAAAGGCTAACTTCTCATATGTGATTAGCTGTCTGCTACTATGACATTTGAAAGGAGATGCTTTCCTTTCAGTTCTTGAAGCAGTGCATGATAATCTATCTAAAAACAGAGCTAGGAAACGTTATTCAAAAAATTAATGTTACTCATTAGATGCCACTTTTGCTTAGGAATGACTTGCATGTTAGAATTACTGGAGAATAACAACAAAAAGAACCCCCATCTCAGTAAGATTATAGTAAAAAACATTTCTAGAAAAAATGATGGCGGGAGGATTCAAAATTGCCCTCCAAAAGCAAAATCCAAAATAAAGAGCAACTGTAACTCATTATGCAAACCAATTATATTTATGCTGCTCATAACTAAAATAAACAAGTAAAAAAGTGACGGGCTATGAGTAACATTGTAATAAGCTCTGGGCAAAAAAAATATTATATATATTTGTTCCTAAATCATTATGGGTCAGCAGTATATAAGAGAAGAGCAAAATGCTTTCTTCTGTCAGATGTGTAGCCACAAAGTAAGGTGAGGGGTGGTGGTGAGGTTTCCCTTTCAATTCCCTACATACCTAGCATTGCATTAACCAAAACTTGGATTGGGGTTTAGAAATACAATTCAGATATCCAAAGAAAAGGGAAAGGTACAGCAGCCAAGGAAATGTGAACACAGCTAATATGAGCATTTTTTTTAAAAAAATCAAATGTTTCATTCTTTGCAAATGCTAAAAATCTGGGGACTGAAGGAACATTTCATGGGCAGGGGAACTGCCCTCATTTTACTGCTTTGCAGCCACCCCCCTATTTTCTGCTCCCTGCCTCTCCTCCTTGCAGTGTGGCATGTAGCTGCAGCTACAACACATCATTTTCTGTAAATGCACTCAATTACATTGTCTGCCATGCAAACCCCTGGTGCCCCTAAGCACAGCTTTAGAGATGAGTGCCCCAATTCAGCAAGACAGAGCCACATGCATAGCTGATATAGATGTGATTGGGATGCTTCTCCAGTCCTCACTGAGCCCAACACAGACGTGTCAAATGGGAGTACAGGTTGAGAATCCTTTATCTGAAATGTTTGGAATCAGAAGTATTTTGGATTTTTTTGGATTTTTTGCATTTTGGAATACTTGTATTGGCATATAGGTGCATAATGAAATACCTTTGATATGGGATCCAAATCTAAACATGAAATTCATTTTTGTTTCATATACACCTTATACACACAGTTGGAAAGTAAATTTATACACAATATTTCTAATAATATTGTGCATGAAACAATGTACACTGAACCATCAGAAAGTACAGGTGTCACTATCTCAGACACTCATGTGGACAGTTTTGGATTTTGGAATATTTTGGAATTCCAGGTAAGGGATGCTCAAACTGTATACATCCTCATTGAGGGCTATAAGTTGTACATGACCAAGTGCTACTAGAATTGTACTGAGGTCAGGGTGAGCTACATGGACATAAATAATTAATCGGCACAACCAGACACCATGACAGCATACAAAGGGCATCCAGTTACATATTAACAGTATATACAACGAAAACTGTCTTTATTTCAAAAGTGAAGAATGAAAGGAAGTAGCAATTTCTATACCATTATGGTGAAATGTGCCAATCTGGTATATAAATATGCCAAAACACTTCTTGGGGAACTGCCATGGTAGTTAAAGCCATATTTCCTTTGTGAAAATGACTGAGAAAGGGAATTCGTTTCCCCGTCTCCAGTAGGATGGGTATAGCTGGTTTTTAAACCCAGCTCAGTGGTAAAACAATGTAGCCTAGATGTGAGCACTTCTTCTGGGGATTGTAAATCATAGATTAATCATCATTCCATGAAATAACTGGAATTCTTCTCAGCAAAAATCAGCACACAGATGAAATTAATGTGAAGGATCTATCACAGTGCAAAATTTCTACCTGCCTACTAGGTTTCTCCTGAGTTATATCTTTTAAAATATGATTTTATATGCTTTTATACAAAAAATATTTTAAATTCTTCTCAATCTACTTTTTTTAAATTTCCAGATTAGGCAGGCATAAACACAAAATTAAGGCTGTACTAGTTTGTTTTCCTCCTTGAAGGAAATGTCTTACTTGGTGTGAATGGGCATTTGCACTATATGGAGTTACAACTGTCTTATGCGTACACAGTAGTCCTTTTTTCTGCCACCATTACTCTGAGCAGTAATTTACTCTGGATTACTATCAGATTCAGTGTATCTACTTTAGGAAAGGTGTTTTCAAGTTTACTTGGTCTACTTTACTTCCATTGAGACAGATTTCCAGAAATAACATAATATGGGCTCCTTGATATTTATTTTCTATCTTTAACAACAACAAAATAAACTCTTCTAGCGTTTTTGTTTCTCTGATCAAAAGAGTAGCACATTTCAAATCATAGACTTCCTGAACCAGCCATGTTGTGTTGTGTTATGTTGTGTTATGTTGCATTACACAGATATAAACATTTTGTGATCTTTATGCCATCAACATGGTCATCAGCATATGCATCATTACATTACTGTTAAATATATATTTGGTAACTCAGATAGAAAAGAGGATGGATGAACAACTGCTTGTAGTGAAAGCAAGATATCAGTGATGTGAATTAGATTAACATCAATGTGTAGCATAATGCACATGGGGAATTGTGTGGCCTTTGTAATATTGTTGCAATGCAACTCCCATCAGAAAGAGCTGTTCAGCAGTGAAAGTCTCTGCCTCAGAGTGTGGTGGAAACTCCTTCTTTGGAGGCTTTTAAACAGAGGCTGGATGTCCATCTGTTGGGGGTGCTTTCAATGCAATTTTTCTGCTTCTTGGCAGGGGTTGGACTGGATGGCACACAAGGTCTCTTCCGACTCCATGATCAGCCTTCCCTCATGGGAGCTGCAGTTAAACAACATCCCTGACATAATAGAAAATATCAGTTCTATCTGACATGCCTGTGAATACATGTTGATGTAACACACTTATCTATAATAATTCTAGTGCTCTTGATCATCCAGATTATCTCCTGCAATAATGTACTTGCCCATGTGGGTTAAGACTGAAAAGTAAGCTGTAAATATTACATTGAAAACAAGCCTGGTGGATACCAGGCAAATTATGTTGGTACATGATATTATTGCTACTGCATATTTATTTGGGATGGTGGGGCTACAGTAGTACAGTAATAATGAACTAGGGAAGACGGGATGTGCCGTGATTCAATTAACACATGCAGATGTGTTGAGAGGTCTCTTAGTCTGGTAATACATTTGTAGGTTGTCGTTATATCCATGAATATATGGATAAGCTGCTATGCATTTGTTTAAGTCTTTTGGGAGAGATTCAAAATCATGAAAGAATACTTTTCATCTCTAGTCCTCCCCGCTGCTCTTCAATTCTACTCTGGAGGATGGGGACATTTCTAGAGCAGATTTTAAGTCTGAAATACTAGAGGGGAAGTAGAACCAGTCCTCCTTTTTTTCGCTGATAGATCCTACTCCTTGGTGAGAGAGGCTAACTGAGTTACATCTCCTTAATTGCTCCTTGATAAATTGTATTGAACATTTGTACAAGTGAAATCTTTGAAAGCATACAAAGTTGTTGTTGGGTGCCTTCAGGTCAACCCTATGGTGATCCTTAGAGTTTGCTTGGCAAGATTTTTTTGGAGTGGATTTTTTTTATGTTCCTCTGGGGCTGAGAGAGTTTGACTTGCCCAAGATCACCCAATGGGTTCCCATGGCTCAGCAGGAATTTGAACCTTGTTCTCCAGAGCCCTAGTCTGGTGATAAAACCAATAAACCACTCTAAAAAAAACATACATTATCCTGAAATAATATCAAGTGATGAATGGAACTAAGTTTAATAGCAATGGATATTTTTTTGTATGTGGTGACAAAAATCTGATAGTTGTTATGATGACTATTTAATGTTGGTTATCACTCTTTACAGCAGGAGTGGGGTATATGTAGTCCTCCAGATGTTGTTGTACTACAACTCCCATCAACATTTGTTGGCATAACCAATGGTTACAAGCCAGTAATATTTGGAGGGCCATCAGTTCTCCCTCCCTGATTTATAGGTTTGGTGCATGGGATTAATTAGTTAGTTGGTTCCAATGGAAGGTTAAGATTGAACATGCTGAACATAGTACCAATATGGATACAAGATGTGGTACAGAGTCTAGATGTAGTGTCTACCCATTGGTAGCTGCCAACTGCTGGGAGAATGTGACATTGGAAAGCACTTAAGGCACTACTCATTATAAGTAAAGATGGCAGAATGAGGCCTACAAATTGTGCTCACTGACATCACAGAAACTACATGTGTAAGAGGCTGACATGCTGATATCTCATCAGAGATTTCTTTCTAAGGCTTGGCCAAGGGTGCAGCTCTTTGGAAGAGTCTTCAAGCCATATGAAGCAACTATTATGATAATGTAGTTCAGCTGAAATTCAATTGTTTTCTTTCAGTTAGAACATCAGCTGATTATGTTCTCTTCTGAATGATGTATAACATTCAAAAATTTCCATGGCTTATATAGGTTAACTATCTACATACCTACCTACCTATCTACACAGGTTTTTTTTTAAACTGAATGGTTTTGAAAACCAAAGAGTTTCCCAAGGTATTGCACTTAGAGGGTAATAGCTCAACATACACACTCACACACCTCTTACAGACAAATGCCATACAAATAAATCCTTGCCTTTGGCAAGAATCAGCCACAGTTAAAATTCTAACTGTACAGCCCAAAAAAACCATAAATGGTTTCACCATGTAACATGACAAAGAACAGGATCATTTTGTAAACAGTATCACAGTATATCAGGAATCGCGTTGTAATTTCTTTGCCCTCAGCCCCCAGACCTATGGCTTTTAGAGTTAGCTAAATCATCGCTTAAGAAAACATTGAGGTACTCTAAACAGCTGCCAGTCTGGTACAATGAGGAAATTGACATGCATTAAACAGGGCAGTTCTAGCAGGGTGCAAAACAAACTCTTATAAACCGGTATTAGAACAGAAATACCTTCTTCATGGTGTGTTTCATTTTTTGCATCCTATTATTTTCTAATTATAGGTCTAAACTTACATTAATTAAAGATATATATACATTATTTAGAGGTCCTTTACTACAGTACTTTTGTACATGCTGGGTTTATTACTAAACTTAAAGAAAAAGAAATTACATAAGGCATATATATGTACAGTATCTCATTGAACTGCAAAGATTTCTCTTCATTTTGGGTCTTAAAGCTGCAATGCAGGCATCTCATTCAAAACCGTCTTGGAGGAATATATAAAAAGCTGAAGTTAAAGCTTGGGAAATGGACATTAATTATAGTCACTCCATTTGTTTTTGGCCCAGGATAATAAACTTCTGCTCTTAATCTGAAAAACAAACTCTAAACCATATGCCTGAATACAAGAACACTTGAGTTTTTTTCCAGGTGAAAGAGAGAATAATGATAAGAGTATATATGGTAAAATAAGGGATATTGCAGCTTTAGCCAAAACGTTTTGCTTATCTTTTGGGCAGGCAGACCTTTAGTTCTTCTTTTTCCTTGTAAAGGAAGATTTGCTGTTTTCTGTCCCCTCCTAAGTTTTAAACTTTGGACTCATTCTCTAAATTGGCCACATCGCCATTTCTTTCTGTTTGCTCTTCTTGGCTTTTGGGCTCCTCCTCAGGGTCCACTTCGGCATGCTGGTCTAATTGACTGGACACAGACCATGTGAGGGGCAACTCTGCTTTACTGGCCTTCTCTGCCAGTTCTTTGGCACTATAGGGTGGTGTGTTGGTCTCATAGGTTTCATGAAAATTGTTGTAGTCAACTTCATAAAATCCATCCTCTAAGGTGAGGACAGGTGTGAACCGATAACCCCACAAGATCTCACTGGTAACGTAAGAACTTCGGGCTTGGCATGTCATTCCTGGGAAGAAAAAAGGAGAGAAATTAAAGACATCAAGGGTATCCAAGAGTGGTCTTTTATATAGTTTTTGGTGTAATAGCTATGGTACAAAGAAACACTGCACACTGGAAGGATGACAGATACTTGCCACACTGAAGCTCTGCCAGGGTGTAGTTATGGAATTGTCTTGCATAAGAAAAAAAGTAGCTGGAAGAATGTTCCACCAGATTTTTCTTACGTTTCAAAGATAAATGGTATATTTATCAACAGACAAGCAACCTAAATTGTAAGACTCATTCAATTTCAGAAAATATTAAGAACCAATGCATGTTCATCAGATCCATTCCCCAACCCCAATATTGAAAAAAAGGCTTTCTAATGGATCCATGCTTCTATGTTAGGGTGCATCCACATTGTACAATTTTAACACCAGATTAATTTCCATGGCTCCATCCTATGGGGCACTTGAATTTATTATTTTTTGAGGTTTTCAGAATTATCATGCCAGAACCAAAGCCTACCACCAACAAATACCAGGATTTCACAGAATGGAACAATGGTAGTTAAGCCCTGGCAGTATCATTCGTCTTTAGTTCAAATAGAAAAAAAAGCTATAAGTGTGCAGTATGGATACATTGTAGTTGGTATTTGTCTTGAAGTGGTATCCAAATAATGCCTTTGAAAGAATTGACATGCAAGTTAAAATGGATCGCAGTGTATTCCAGAAATAAAAGTACATCTCATTAAGGTTTCGTGGCAGCAGGTTTTGTGACATTCCCATAAAACTGTACCCCACCTCCCTGCAAACTCATTAAAATAGCTATGGCTAGATCCTGCATTGGCAGATATAGCTGTGACAAGGATCGAATAGCAAAATGGATAAGATAAAGGCTATATAAAAGATTGAGATACAAACAAAAGAAATGAATAATATCTAGGAATGCTGGCTACAAAATGCCCTAGGTGTACTTCCACCAAATGAAAAGAAGTGCAAATACTAATAAGTTTTACAAATGTCTGAACAAAAGCTTGATGACTACTCACACCTAATTGAAATAAGTGTAAACAATGTGATGAAAATGTATTAAGAAGTAATGATAATAACTTCCTTCGTGGACAAAAAAGAAAGTTAACAGAGCAGCAATAAAATATGTAACTGTGGCCAGTTCTGCACAGGGAAAAAGTCCAGACTTTTGTCCCCACACCAGCAAAAAACCCCCTGCACTTTCCTGGAGAAGGGAGGGGGGGTGCCCAGATACCCCCTCCCAAAAAAACAGAAAAGCCTTTAAAAGTAAAAATTACTTACCTGGCCTCTATTACCCTGCTGCGAGCCCTCTCCTGCCACGTAGAAATGATGTGCCAGGAGAAAGGGTGAAGGAGGCTCATTGCTTTTTAAGACTTTTTATGGGGTTTGGGGTAGGGGGTAGGGGCTGCCCTGGGGTTTCCAGACTTCAGGAACCCGGAAATCCCAATACAGCTGTGTGGATTGGACCTGGAAGTCATGCAATGTGATCCCCGGTCCCAATCCACACAGAGTTCACAGCTGGAAAGAAAGCTGGGGCTTCTGAAAGACCCAGATCTTTCCAGGTGTCAAAGTAATTGGGTGCAAAGCAGGGTTTTCCTGCTTTGTACTGAATTCGCTTTTACCTGAGGCATTGTTTGGACACCTCAGGTAAAAACACGGGAGCTTGCACATTTTGCAAGCTGTCTGGATGTGCCCTGGGACAAGGGAGCTCTATTGTCATAGCTACACCTGCAAATGTTACCCCTAAAAAGCCTAACTCTTTAGGACAAGAATATAAATTCAGAGCTTTTGCTGATGATACAAGATCCAAAAACGAAATTAGGAGATTGGATAGTTATAATTAGAAAATTTGGCGAAGTCTCAGGATTCAAAATAAATATGGAAAAAACAAAAGCAATAACAAAAACATTAAAAAAAGAACAGGATAAAAGAAAAGAAAAATGGGATATACAAATTCTCTCAAAGATAAAATATTTCGGGATTATTCTAACAGCTAAAAATCTACAACTATTGCAAAATAATTACATAGAAAAATGGAAGGAAATAAAAAAAGAATTAGAGCAATGGAAAGACATGAACTTATCACTCTTAGGTAGAATTGCAACAGTGAAAATGAAGATTCTACCAAAAATGACTTTTCTGTTTCAAAATCTACCCACCATAAGAAGTCAAAAATTATTGAAGGAATGGAATAGAGATATCACAAAATTCATTTGGAAAAATAAAAAAACCGAGAATACACTACAACAATATGATAGAACGAAAAAAGGGGGTCTTGCTACACCAGATTTAAGAATATATTTCAAAGTGAGTTCATTCCTTTGGGTCAGAGACTGGGAAAAATTGGAAAAAAAGAAAAATACTAAATTTAGAAGGAATTGAACTGAGAGGGGGGTGGCATTCATCTCTCTGGTAAGAAGGAGGGGGAAAAAAAGAAAAAATGGAAATCATTTTATAAGATCATCTATATTTTAAATATGGGAAAATATAAAAAGAAACTACAAGAATACACCCCTGTAGATATCCCTCTAGAGGCGGGACAAAGAAGATGCATGGGATGGTATGATTGGCCCAAATACAAAGAAATGTTAAAAAAGGAGGTGGGGGAAATAATATTAAAATCACAGCAAGAATCAAACACAATTGATCAAAAAAATCTCATGGTTCCAATATTGGCAAATTAAAGAAAAATTTTAAAAAGACAAAGTGATAGGATTTGCACAAGAAAATAATTTTTGGGATAAAATAATGAAATTAGAAAAAAATGATAACAAAAATATATAAGAAATTATAAGATTGGGCAGTAGAATCAAAAGAAGAAAATATATATGAAAAGGTGGAATGAAAATATGAAATGAAAAAGAGTAATCAGACAGGAAGAATGGGAAAAAATGGAAAAAAAATACGTATATGCGACCGATCTGAATGAAAATTGGATAAAAACATCACACAGATGGTATATGACGCCAAAGAAACTGGGAAAAGGTTATAATAATTTAAGTACAACCTGCTGGAAATGCACAGAAAAGGAAGGATCATATTTTCATGTATGGTGGAGCTGCGATAGAGCCAAAAGATATTGGAAAGAAATACAAAAAGGCTTACAAAAAAGGTTAGAGACACAGATCCTGTGGAAACTTGAAACATTCTTGCTAGGAATGCATGAGATGAAATTAGAAAAAAACATGGATAAATTGCTATTTTTAATGACCACGGCAGCAGGAATATGTTATGCAAAAAGATGGAAACTAAAACAGACACCGGAAGAGGATGAATGGCTGATAAAGATTCTGGAGATTAGAAATATGGATAGATTCACATTTCTCATGTCAAAAAATAAAGGAATAAAAATGAAGGGAACAGATTGGGAAAAAGTCACACAATATTTAAAGCAAAGAAATAAGATTTTGATCTGACAGAGAAATGGAATTAGACAATACAAAAGAAAATGGTAGGAAAAGAGGGAAAGAAATGTATCATGAAGACGGAGAAGAAGGAAAGGGAATAAGAAAAGAAAAGAAGAAAACTTCAGGAAGATATAAGTCAATATTTTTATTTTTGATTTATATATCTATATCTATATCTATATATACCCCATATTTTTTCTTACTTTTTAATTATTATTTTATTTTATTATTATTTCTCCCCCCACCCCTTCCTTTCTCCCTATCTTTTATTTCTTCTCTCTTTCTCCCCTTTAAGTTGCTACTTTTTCTTTTTGGTTTTGTTTTGTATCTTGGATTTTTTTTTTAAAAAATTGTAAACTTCAAAAGGATTTTCTGTTTGTCCGTCCGTCCGTCCGTCCGTCCGTCCGTCCGTCCATCCATCCATCCATCCATCCATCCATCCATCCATCTATCTATCTATCTATCTATCTATCTATCTATCTATCTATCTCTTTAGGCAGGGAATGCCTCAGCCGAAAGGTTTCTGAGCCACTGTAGACTGAGGTGCTGGGAAATTATAAGTACAGTGCTGTTCCAATCGCAGAATATGTTGAAGTCAGGAAATTGGACAGACCTCTCAGGGTCCTGACACAATGCCTCTCTCAATGTGCTCTGCATCCAGAACTGCACCAAAGAGATCACTTCCCAGTCTGCAGTGCTTTGGAAGCCGGATGAGTCACTGCCTAGCTTAAGATGTATGTTTTGTGAGCCAGGTTTTGTCACTGGAGACTGTAAATGTGAATCCCAAAAGTTACTTTACAACAAAGACCAAATCCTGATTACAATCTTATGAATACTGAATGGCATTCTAGCCATTGGTTTTGAAATTCTTTTAAATCATGCATTCAGCACATTTTTCACACAGCAATTGAAAATATGGATTTTAATCATAACCCAATGGAATACTCCTGAACTGTAGTCTCTCTCTTATAGTTAATACTTTAAAAATTATATTTTTTCCCAAACAAGGAAACATCAGGAAGCAGCAGGAGATGTAGCTTTCATACCTGTAATCCTCAAAGGGTAAGAAAACAATCCTGACCTTAATGTTTTTTCAAAGTCTCTTCCCTCTCCCCGTCTCCAAACTGTGAAGGCTGCACTTGACCAAAATTTCCTGCACCTCTCCTGTTCTAAAACCTTGTAGGTCAAACAAGACAACAAGAAAACAAGTTCTGTATGGACAGTGATCCTAGTTAATAAACTTAAAGAAATAGCAATAGTAACAACAAGTAGTATAAAGGGATCATTAGATCATCCGGAGTTTCGGAGTGAGATGTCATCTGTACGCAGATGATGTCCAGCTCTGTCACTCCTTTCCACCTGCTACTAAGGAGGCTGTCGAGGTCCTGAACCGGTGCTTGGCCGCTGTGACGGTCTGGATGGGGGCGAACAAATTGAAATTGAATCCAGACAAGACAGAGGTACTCCTGGTTAGTCGTAAGACCGAACAGGGTATAGGATTACAACCTGTGTTGGATGGGGTCGCACTCCCCCTGAAGACACAGGTTCGCAGTTTGGGTGTGATCCTGGACTCATCGCTGAGCCTGGAA